AAAAAAACATATCTGTTCCTTGAATGTATTCAGTGACTTGGCCTCCAAAGTCTTTTGCGATAGAGCATTCCACAGGTTCACTACCCTCTGAGTGCAGACATATTTTATCATCTCAATACTAAATGGTCCATCCCACATTCTGAGACTGTCCCCTGGTCCTAGGCTCCCCAACCAGGGGAAGCATCGTCCCTGCAGCTAGTCTGTCGAGCTCTCTTAGAATTTTATACGTTTCAATCAGATCTGCTCTCATCCTTCAAGTGAATACAGACCCAGTTGGACTAATCTTTCCTCATTGGACAGTCCTGCAATCCCTTGAATAAGCCTAGAGAACCTCTGCTGCACTTCCTCTATGGTGAATACGTCCTTTCTTAAATAGGGAGAACAAAACTGCGTGCAGTACTCCAGATGATGTTTGCAATAAATCATCCTTACTTTTGAGCTCAAATCCTCTTGCAATGAAGAGGTTTGCTGCAGCTGCCTGTCTACTTTCATTGACTGGTGGACAAGGACAACTAGAATCCTTTGTATATCCCCATTCTGCCAGGGATTTCTACAACCTAAGAACAAATAAAGAAAAATAAAGCACCTCTTACTGTCGATCTACACTGGCTCCTTCTTTCTTAACATAAGAAATTCAAAACCTCACGTCTGTCTTTAAATCTCTCCAAGGTTTCCTTTCACCTGACCTCTGCCCAACTGCTCTGCCCCTGCTCCTCTCGGTTCAGGTCCTGCGTATTTTCCACTCCATTTGACCACTATTAGTCTTTGGCTCTCTCGACTCTTATCCACCCCATGCTCCTCAGCCTCTCGTTGTGTACCCCTCAGCCTGTCTATAAACCCCCTCAGCTCCTCCCTAAAATATCATTCAGCCCTTCTATAAAGCCTTTCTATAAATGCCGACTGCCAGATGGTGTGGTAGGGGCTAGTACAATTACAACATTTAAAAGATGTTTGGACCGGTACATGAATAGGAAATGATCAGAGGGATATAGGCCATACCTAGAAAAATTGGACTAGTTTATCAAATCTGATTGGCATGGGCGAGTCGGGCCGAAGGGCCTGTTTACGTGTTGTATAACTCTATGACTGTACTCACCGGGGTTTAGAAGAATGAGAGGTGATCTCATGGAAACATATAGGATTCTTAAGGGGATTGACACTGTAAATGTTGAGAGGATATTTCCTCTTTATAGGAGAGTCTAGGACATAGTAAAATATGTTGAATAGACCACTTACTGCAGGGTAGACTCTTTAAAGAGACTGAGATTCCCGCTGGGGAGTAGGAGAGGGGAGCTTTCTAGCCTATGGGTGGAGAGTCACTGCCCCACACAGTCCACACCCATTAAATTAAACTTGTCAAGTCACTTCAGATTATTCAGCATATCATCACAGGACAACCTTCTCAAGCTCCCTCGCCTCCTCTACACATCCAGGATTGGAACTCTCTATATCTGCCCAGTCCAGGCAACAGGTGGCTCCACGAAAGAAAAGAAATGTGGCATTTATAGAGTGCTTTTCACAACCTGTAGACCCTTCATAGCACCTTAAATTTATTAGAATCCCTACAGTATGGGAACAGGCCATTCAGCCCAACAAGTCCACATCACCCCTCCAAAGAGCATCCCACTTTGACTCATTCCGCTACCCCTGCATTTCCCCATGTCTAACCCAAACATCCCTGGACACTGAAGGGCAATTTAACATGGTCAATCCACCTAAACTGCACATCTTTGGACTGTGGGAGGAAACTGGAGCACCCGGAGGAAACCCACACAGACACAGGGAGAATGTGCAAACTCCACACAGTCACCCAAGGGTGGAATCAAACCCGGGTCCCTGGCGCTGTGAGGCAGCAGTGCTAACCACTGAGCCACTTACAGCCAGTGAAGTCCTGAAGAAGTGTAGTCACTGGCCTAATATAGGAATACTGCAGCTAATTTGTATACACCAACCTGCCACAAACAGCAATGGCTGTGGATTGAGGAATTAATGTTAATCCAAGCACTGGAATGGCTCCCGGCTCTGTCGTGGGATGTTTTATATCCAATTGTGAAGGTAGATGGGCCTCACTTTAATGTTCATCATACATTCAGTGCCGCAATACGTGAGCCACCTTAAGGCACCTAAAGGAAATAGAGACAGACACTAAGTAATACTCACAAACAATCAAAGCAAAGATCTGAAAAGTTACTTCTTAATTCCAAAGACAAACCCAGATAAGCCTGAGAATAACTCTAATATAACGCAATACCGAACAGGTTTACTTCCCTGATAGTAGGAACTGCAGATGCTGGAGAATCTGAGATAACAAGGTGTAGAACTGGATGAACACAGCAGGCCAAGCAGCATCAGAGGAGCAGGAAAGCTGACATTTCGGGCCTAGACCCTTCTTCAGAAGGGCAATTTGTAGCTGTTGCCCTCTCTCTCTATCTCCCGTCAGGAGGCATCTCTAACTCAGGGATGCTGCCATTTTGTCTGGTGAGGTATGCAGCAATTATATGCATGCTCCAAATCCCTTTCCTGGTTTTCTAGCCAGTATCTGAAACTTCTTACTTAAGTCCTGCTCTTCTGTTCCTTCTCCTTTGTCCCGTGCCCGTAGCCTCCAGCTCTGTCCACCCCCAGTTTTCCAAAAAGCCATTCCCCTTGCAGAAGTAGTCCTAAAGTAACTGATGTGTTCTCCCACATCATCACCGCTGTCTGTAGGAGGACTCTAGGGCGGCATGGTGGTTCAGTGGTTAGCACTGCTGCCTCACAGCGCCAGGAACCTGGGTTTGATTCCACCCTTGTGTGGAGTTTGCACATTCTCCCTGTGCCTGCATGGGTTTCCTCCCACAATCCAAAGATGTGCAGGCTAGGTGGATTGGCCATGCTAAATTGCCTGTAGTGTTCAGGGATGTGTCGATTAGGGGGGATGGGTCTGGGTGGGATGCTCTGAGTGTCAGTGTGGACTTGTTGGGCCGAAGGGCCTGTTTCCACATTGTAGGGATTCTATGATACTATGATTGACCCACTACAGGCTGATGGTGTAGGTCAATGGAACAGTCTGTGTACCAGACAAGGCACAGTAGATCAATTAGAACAGGAGGAATTTTATTCATGTAGAAGAAGTAGACTTCTATTCCAAAGCAATAACCAACACTTTACCAGCAACTGAGGCCTCATTCTGACAAAGTGCACAAAGGGCAGAAGATTACATCTGGAAAGGTTGTCAAAACGTAGACCAGCAGACCGAGTGATGAACAGCTACCATGAGCAGGAACACCACTTAGTGGACAATAGTGGAACGTACATTGGTGTGCAACCATGGGGTGGCTATACCATCGTCAATGCAAAGAGGAACCCTCCAGAAACACCCTGGGAGATATCCAGATATCACAAAGTGCAGAGCAAGACCACAACACCCAGTGTGGTGACCAGGCGTTTCACTGAGATTTATGGAAACATCATGGGATACGCCAGCCACCAATTTATTTGATTCTAGGGGAAGGAAGTATTTAGTGCTACTCGATGTTTATTCAAACTGGATTGAATTGGCAAGGCTTTATTCAACTGCAGCAGAATCAGGGACAGAGCATGGAACAGGATCTTAGTGACTTTTTTTCTTTATTCATTCACGGGATGAAGTCGTCACTGACCAGGCAGCATTTATTGCCCATCCCTAATTGCCCAGAGGGCAGTTCAGAGTCAACCATATGGCTGTGGGTCTGGAGTCACATGTAGGCCAAACCAGGTAAGGATGGTAGTTTCCTTCCCTAAAAGACATTAGTGAACCAGATGGGTTTTTACAACAATCAATACACAGTCATCATTAGACTCTTAATTCCAGATATTTATGGAGTTCAAATTCCACCATCTGCTATGGCGAGTCCCCAGAACATTATCTGGGTTTCTGAATTAACAGTCCAGCAATAATACCACTAGGCCATCACCTCCCCCTGCATGGTTTCCTGAAAGAATTCTTATCAGATATTGAGCAAGGATTTCAGGAAATTCAGTTTTGAGTCAGGCATTGACCAGCTGCCAAGATCTCCTTTCCATCCTCATTCGAATGGAGATGTTGAAAGAGCAGTCAAGACTGTGAAGTCCC